TCTCCCCCCTCTCCCCCAACCTAGTACTAGCTGACAACATCAGATTTACTTGAATCGGAGTTGAATATGTAAATGCTAAATATTGTTGTTACTGAAAACTGTGTTCATGCATATGCTGAATGTATGTTGAAACACCGGAACTTGACAGAAGATGTTATTACTCTAACATGCACTATGTTCAGCCAGTTGAAAACCCAATCCATAATGTTATGTTTGACTTTGCTTTGTATATCAGCTTTGTGCAGTTGCAGTTTTATTGGTAAACCTAATAGTTCTTCGACTAGGAGATTTCCGCCATCGAAGCATTTTATCCATTCCACCGGTATTCCTCCAATATCTATAGATAGTTACTTTTGATTTGAGTATTTCAGCTTATTGATTGCTCTATCGTATGTACCAAATGCATCCTTTCACTTTTCAGGAGCTTGTTATTCTGCAGAGCGAGATTACTATGAAATTCTAGGTGTATCTAGAGATGCTAGTCGAGATGAGATTAAGAAGGCTTTTCATGCGGTGAGGATATTATGCAATAGGGTTTTAGGTCTGAATAGGTGCCTTATTGATATGTTTATTTTCAGTTGAAATGAGATCTTGTCTGCCATTTTGGTGTTAAAAGCTTGTCACTGTCAATAGCACTATTTTTTGTTTGAATATGGATCTATTTCCTTTATGGTGTTGAAATTCTACTAGTCATTTGTAGATTGTTTTCAATGAAGAGGCTGGTCATTTAATAGTTTATTTTCATTACGATAGAACAGAATCTTCTTCTTACTCCCCCGCCCCCCCAAAAGTCCCACATACGGAAAGGAATCTTCTTCTTCGTTTAGAGGTGGAAATTCACATTGTGCCAGTGTTCTGAGACAAGTGATTCAATATTTTTGCACTTCAAGAATTTTTTGCTTCATTTATATTGAGCATTATCTTGCTTAGATCTGTGGCATTATATCTTTTCCTTTATCCTTTCCATGTTATTTGTAATTCTCTAGTGCTTTGACTTAAAAACCTTTTGCAGCTTGCAAAAAGGTACCATCCAGATGCCAATAAGAATAATCCTTCTGCCAAGAGGAAATTTCAAGAGATAAGAGATGCATATGAGGTTTAAATATTTCTATGTTCTCCAAAAATAGTACTATGACCATGATTGAAGAATTGCTGCATTTCCTTGTACTACATTCATATGATAATTTTATGGATTGTAATCGTGAAAGGTGAATTCAGATTTTGCAAGATCCACAGAAGAAAGCACAATATGACATGGTGACATGTCTTTTCTCCTTTGGCTTGTATTTTTCAAATTATGCTATATCATGGTGTACATTTCATAACTAAGAATAAATTTTTTACTAATACAGATGAAGGAGCAACCTAGCAGCACAGAAGATATGAATTATAATTATGGGAATGTCAATGATTTTAGATATTCTTATAGCACACAGTTCTCTGATTCGTTTCAGAAAATTTTTTCTGAGGTATTTCCTCCCCTTTCTTTTCCTCTTCTCTGAAGTGCAGTGATTTATGGAATTTGCTTAAATGTATATGCTTCAATACGACAAGAGTGGGTTGCTCTAGTGGTAAGCACCCTTCACTTCCAACCAACAGGTTGTGAGTTCGAGTCACCCCAAGAGCAAGGTGGGGAGTTCTTGGAGGGAGGGAGCCGAGGGTTTATCGGAAACAATCTCTCTACCCCAGGGTAGGGGTAAGGTCTGCGTACACACTACCCTCCCCAGACCCCAATAGTGGGATTATACTGGGTTGTTGTTGTTGTTGTTGTTGTTGTTGTATATGCTTCAATACATTGTTGTCAAAGGCACGCTTAAAGCGCGCTTAAGCCCTCAAGCGAGGCTCAAAACATGTTGAGCGCTTCGCCTCATTTTGTGTGCGTTTTAGTATCGCATCAAGGCTTTAAAGCATACTTTTCCTTGCCAATGAGTGTGATCCTGAAAAGACGACATTAAACAATTGATATTTCACTTTCTCGTAAATGTTTTTCAATTTCTTTGTCCATATATTTGTTATTCATGCTTATAATAATTAGTCTTGGACTACATATACATATTTTTACTTTTTCTCAAGTTGGGCTTTTTTCATTAAAGCTCACGCTTTATTTGCGCTTTGCGCTTAAAGCCCCAATGGACCTTAGAGCTTTTTTGCGCTTTTCGCCTTTGATAACATTGCTTCAATATCTCACAGATATTCGAAAATGAGGCTGAAAATTTGACACAAGACATTCAGGTGGTGCCTTTTGTGATTGTGTTCCATTTGATGTTTCCCCCAATTTGAGGGACTCCAAAACTAAACCTGTTTGACTGTAATATCTTCAAATGGTAGGTGGAGCTTTCTCTCTCTTTTCCTGAAGCTGCTAAAGGATGCACAAAACATCTGTCATTTGACGCAGATGTTCCATGTGATTCTTGCCGTAAGTAAAAACTGATGTTCTCTTTCTATCCACCTGTTGTGTTTTTTGAAGCCTTTCCTTTGTGTCCGAGTTGGATGTTCCATCGTCTTCTTTTCTTTGTTTGTTATGCCATCTCTTCCCAGAAGCATGACTAGGAAGATTATGCAATTTATATTTCTTCTTGTTCTCTCTGTGTGTGTGTGTGTGCGCGCGCGCTTTGTTCTCGTTCTCTTTCTCTGTTCTCGTTACTAGATAGGTGAAGGGCGCAAAAGACTGCTAGAGTCCCAACATTCATGNATTGTTTAAACCACCTGTTGTGTTTTTTGAAGCCTTTCCCTTGTGTCCGAGTTGGATGTTCCATTGTCTTTTTTTTCTTTGTTTGTTATGCCATCTCTTCCCGGAAGCATGACTAAGAAGATTATGCAATTTATATTACTTCTGGTCTCTCTCTCTCTCTGTTTGGGCTCGTTCTCTTTCTCTGTTCTCGTTACCTAAGTAGTGCGGACTCTTTGTTTTTGGTGCCGCACCCGTCTCGACACAGGAAGGGAGCGGGTTCAGGAGCGGGATACGTCTCAGATTCGGTCAACTACCTTCGGATACTTTGACCTGAGTCCATCGACAAATTTGGGGGAAAATTGAGATTTTGATTTCTCAAAATTAAAAATAAAACAGATTTAAGACATCATGGGAAATGGCATAACTTCAATATTGTAATACTTTTGTCTCATATTTGCTGCTTTGTTTCAGAAAAACCAAGAATTCAAGGGGTTGTGTTCTGAGTTCGGACTTCTAGTAGACAGTAGCACCGATATAGATGTAGAGTTGGTGGAAGGCCTTGAATGGCTTTCGTTTTCTCTTTATAGCTCTATTTTTTTTTTATAATTTTGAAGTTTTTTTAGCCGACCCCCCGCACCCGTATCCATACTTGGATCCGCACTCCCGAATCTCAAAATTTAGATTTTGCCGAATCCGACACCGGATTCCGATCCGTGCCCGTATTAGATGCCCGCACCCGAGTCCGAGCAACTTTGCTCGTAACTAGATAGGTGAAGGGCGCAAAAGACTGCCAGAGTCCCAATATTCATGCTTTTATCACTGCTAGAAATACAGTACTGTAGGGTGATGTCCTAAATAATGTTTTTTAGATAGGTAATGTTAAATTAGTACATTGATTACAAAGCTCACCTGGAAAGTTTGGTTAAATTTCTTAAGTAATGTGGCTACTCTATTTTCATGATAATAGTGCTTATACCTGGAGGCACTGTCTCGCTTCCATCTAAAACAAAAGAAAATGATATTTAAGTCATCTTCTCAAGAGGAGAGAAGTGAAACGTAACAGTATTCAATCTATTCAATATAATATGACATGGTTTAGCATGAAAAATGGAGTTACTTTGACTTTTACTTTTCCCTTTGTCCCATTATATATGACAGACTTTTCTTTTTAGTTCCACGATAAAATGGCACCCTTTCTATATTCATAAACTCTTTAACTTTAAACTTCTCATTTTTATGTAACCAAAAAAAAAAAAAAAAANTTAAACTTCTTATTTTAATGTAACCAAAAAAAAAAAAAAAACTTCAAGCTTGCCATACCCTTAATGAGATGATTTATAGCCATACAAATATCTATGGCTTGTTTTAGACCAGATGTTCCCGAAGTCTTTCTTTTTTTCTTAAACTCTGTGCCAGTCAAACACCGTCACATAAAATGGAACAAAAGGAATATCATTTTAGTCCTAGAAGAAAGTATTAAATTAATTGTCTGAGTTGTATGAAGTTGTTATACTCAACAGAGTCATGCTTACTTTGAATTGTTTTGGAATTTAAATTCTTAGTATATGGTCTATTACTTCTTTTAGAGGCATGTCATTTGTGATATAGCAACATGTAAAGTGCATCAGGTCAAATGCATGGAGTATTTTTTAATTGTTAAAAACCTAATGGGAGTAGTTGTGGTCATTGACAAAGTGAATTTTATCCCAAAATTTCCGCTTTGAAATTCTTAGTTTTACCACACATCATGATCTAAACTTTTACTCTATTTTATCTTTTTTCTCATTCAGATGGTAGGGGCTATCCATTGCATTCCAAGCCTAAAGTATGTCCAACTTGTCAAGGAATTGGGAGAGTAAGTACATTCAAAATTTTGAGCATTTCCTCATTTTATGAGGTTTAACTTCAGTGTTCACTTTCTTTTTTGCCTGATAATCGAGCAATGTTCAGAATCTTTATGTGTTATTAATACTCTGGGACCTATTCATCAGGTTACAATCCCTCCTTTTACAGCAACTTGCAGTACCTGTAAAGGATCTGGACGAGTTATTAAGGTCTTGATTCTGAGACAACGAACAACTCTCTGATTTGACACAAAGCTTCAAATAATCATTGCTTGGTTTCTATTAGGAACGTTGTAGGGCATGCAAAGGATCAGGAGTCGTTGAGGCCACTAAAGACGTTAAAGTAACTATACCCGGCGGTATGCATTGGTTTTTCCTTTCCAATTTAAGTGTTACCATAAGTCCATAAGGAGTTTAGTTTATTTCTGAGCACATCTGGTACTTCATTTTAAAGTATTTGTGTATTCTGCTTAAAATATTAGGTGGATGACCACTAATTTCAAATAAATCAACTTTGTCAGTTCTTGATATTTCACATTTTCTTTTTTCTCCTCTAGGGTGGGGGGACTGTTTGGCTTGCACTAATTTTAAACTTAAACAGCCCAAGAAGGTGTTTGGGCATAAATACATATTGTAAACTCTATGGATACAAATCCCCATAGTATAGAACTGCAATAGATAAGTTTATCGATTATAATAGGTGAAGAAAGTGTACAAAGTACCAAGTCGAAAAAAGTGTACAAAGTACCAATTTATATGAAGATTAAGACTATTCTGTTGCTTTTCCACAAAGGATTTGACTATATTGTCGTATTTGGTTTTCGTCACACCATGACCTCCTTACTATGGAGAAAAGTCCTTTTTTACCGGATGTGTTCTGGTTGTGTTACCTGGTAAGGTCCTGAATTTAGAGTGTAGAGTTACAACACTGAACTGAGAAGATAAAGTGTAGTCAATTTAGAAAGGCTAATGGTCTTGCTAAAGGCTGATACGAAGCTTTACCACAGAGAACAAAATTAAGATGATTGAAACAGAAGAGCGTGGTGGGAGTGCTATTAATTGGAAGATACTTATCAAAGTGAAAGGGTAAATTCTATAATATGGTTGTGAGACCAAAAATATTATGTGGGAGTGAATGTTGAACTTTTAAGGCCTAACATAGCCACAAGAAAAGTATTGCAGAAATGCAGATGTTAAGATGATTGTGTGGTTATATAAGATTACTAGATTAGACATAACCACATCCGACAAAAGTTAAGGTAATACATGTAGATGATAAAATGAAAGAAGCTAACCTGAGATGGTTTAACCATGTTTTACGTAGACCTCCAAATGCATGGGTTCATTGATGCTACACTATGATGATTAAGAAGGTGGGGTAGATTTAAAATCAATGAAGGTAAGTTTCAAAAGAACCCTATAATCTCTTGGTATCCATGCTGATTTAGCTAAGAACAAAATTAATGGAAAGAGATGATCCATATAGGAAATACCAATTAGTTGGGATTAATGCTTAGCTGTTGTTGTTACACTTACATTGGGTCTGGCTTATCAAAAGTCACTTTAGGGTGGTTAGAGACTTGTGTGTCAATATAACAACATATGTGAGATTTAGGGAACTTCTTTTAAAAAAGCCACCAGTTTGCCTTAAAAATTAGTTGCTATTGGCATAAAAAGAGCCGAATGGATATAGATGATTCATATAGTTGACCACAACTAATTTGGTATTTAGGCGTAGTTGGTTGATCTTATGATCATTGGACGGGTAGGAACGCATTCGTCTGAAACTTCTTCTGATTTTCAACTCAGTAGCAAGGTCTAACAGCATAACGTAGGGTTATCGTATGATCTTCCTTTTCCTGATGGATCAGGTGTTGACTCTGGTGATACTATTCGTGTGCCGAAAGCTGGTCATGCTGGCAAGCGAGGGATGCAACCAGGCAGCCTATTTATAAAGCTAAAGGTGCATGATTCTCATCTGTCAAGTCTTGCTTCTAATATATCTTCTNCTCTGTCAAGTCTTACTTCTAATATATCTTCTATATTGGGTTATCGAATGTGATTCTTTGTGAATATCTGTGACTTCAAGAATTTTCATTCATGGGTCAATCACTATAATATTTGCATTATATATAGCAGAAATCCATTAAATTTTTGGCTCATTGATCAATCGTCAGATATCCCTGATTGGTAGCAGAAACCCACTAGATTTATTCTTTCAACACTAAGGGATTTGGAATATCAATGGGTGATGGGTATGAACACCTACAAGGCTAGACATGACTAGGATCTGCTAAGGCCTGCTCATTGACAGGCAAAAAAGGCTGTTTTGGGTGGGGGTGGGGAGGGGGGGATCCTACACGTTTACTATAAGAAGAGAACGACGAAGAAGCTTTGTTATGTAATAAAGTGAGATGATATATACATAATAGTATGTTTGCCAATGCTTTAGGTTATTTACCCTTCTCTTAAACAATATTATTTGGGTAGATAGGTCTTAAGGAAGGGTAAATAAAGGTAGAGAGAAAGGCCATTTACCTTTTATAGATGGTCAGAAGACAAATAAGAGGGGAAGGGGAACTTAAGGGATTCGAAAACTCTCTATGTTTGCTTTTCCAGCTCCTCAATCTTTAACAGAACTGGCTGAATTATGAAAAAACTATATTAAGCAGTTAAGATGCACGATGAGTAAACCACTGTATTTATTTTTCTGACGACAAAAGTTGATGGAGTAGAGGTCCATCGAATATCTGATAGTGATAAGCTGATGAATATTCTTTTAGTTGTAATTGGATCGGGAATGGAAGAGCTCACATGAACTCGATAAATGACGTCTACTTCATAAGTGCTAAGGCAAAATATATCAGCGAAAGGAAGGGTGATAAGGGACTCTAGCCATTTCACACTACCTGAGTAATAAAGTGGAAGCCCCCTCACGACCGAATAAAAAGAAAGTCACCCAGAGATATTTGTTCGAATCCAATCGAACCAGCAAGTTTACCGTCTTGGACACTTAACCAAGCTCTTGATAGGCGGTATTCACCTTCACCTTATTCAACTCTATTTAGCTTCTTTTTTTTGGCTCAGGTAACAACTCAGGTTCTACTCTCCTTGGCCTTTATCTTCTTTCAATGAACTCTAGACTGATTCAACTCAAGCAAGAACTGCTTGAACAAGAAATGACTCGATTCAATAGAAGCTCTTTATGTTTCTCCAAAAATACATTGTGAGGGGATGAATTTTTTAATATTTATCTGCCCCCTCAATAATTTACTTTGATATATTTGAAAGCAAGTAGGGATAAGCATTCACATTTACTTCAAAATGAAAGATGAAAAGACTAGTATTGGAGCTTGGACCATTATTCGAACAATTGATTTGGCTCAAGTCCTTCCACAATACGTTCTAAAGCTATGTTACATGGACTAATTTACGCGTAACGGTAGCATGCAAAAGGGTGTGTTTGAGTAGCATGCATGGTAAGGGCAGGTTTTCTTTCTTGGGCTATATATGATGTAGAATCCACGTCATTGTTATCAAAGGTAAAAGCATGGAAAAGTACCATGTCAGCTGGAGCTTTGGGTGCAAAGTGCAAATAAAAGCATGAGCTGTAGCGAAGAAAACCGCTACTGAAGAAATAAATAAAAAATAAAAAATAAATGACATACAAGAAAAATGAATATAAATACAAACCATAACTATGTGGACTAGAGCATTGAGAAGCTATAACTAAGGAAATATATGACCTAAAAGCCATGCTATTCAAGTTCAAAAAGCATTTTAAAATTTATGATTCAGATGCAGTTTGTAGTTCAGATTAGTAACTATAATGTTCTTTTACTAAATTTCTGTTTTCGTATTCCAATTCACCAACATATTAATAGAAAAGTGTCCTCTATCACTTTGTCATTTATGTTTGCTATTTAATGTTGCCCTCGTTAAGACTGATCCCATTGGAAGTTGAGACTCTTGTGATACCTGTACTAAAGCTGTAAAGCGCCAGTGAAGTGAGGCGAGTCTTGCGTATGCTGCTCTAAGCTTCAGCGCTACATTGATCGTGCCAAGTTTCCATGTCTGTGTCACACCAGTAGACATAGTCATGTTAAGACAAATGAAGAATCTTTTGATAATCGGCTACTTAAGCATACAATTGGTGCTGTTCTGCTGTCAATTTGGACTTCCCCTTTTTCTTTAAAAACGTTGTCTTTGGGGGCCTTTTCGTTTGCTGGCTGAATCTGTCTTTGTGAAAATTTCATGCCTTTTGTTTTGCAGGTTGCTAAAGATCCTGTTTTTGCTAGAGATGGAGCAGACCTTTATGTGGATTATCATATCAGCTTTACAAAAGTGAGAATCAGTTTAAATTTTTCCCTTCTTTTGGGCATGCTAATAAAGTATATGCTTTACCATAAACATTTGATTCGCTGTTGGTAGAAAGATATTTGGATTATTCTTCTTTATTTCTTGATAAGTTTAAACGTCTAGTTGTCTCCTTCGTTCTTCTCATGTTACCGAGGAGATATTTGACGCACTCTCTCCCTTTTTTCTTTGTGCATCTTATAAAACGAAATAAAAAATTAAAAATCATTAGTACCATTATCGACTGTCTCTGCATTCTGAAACTTTCTTCAATCCTTCTCTCTTGAACAGTCCCATCCCCAAATTTCATCCTATTTCAGTTGGCAACCTTAGTACCATTATCCAAAAAAATAAAAAAATAAAAATCATTATTACCATCATCGACACTCTATGAAACTTCCCTCAATCTTTCTCTCTTAATTTCATCCCATTCCAGCTGGCAATGGTTAGAGATTGCTGTGTTTTCCTTTGATACTGGTTAGCAAGGTAACTGGTTGAAGATGATACCGAGTGGGTGGGTGATACTGCTGGCACCTGGGAAGCAGGGATTGGAATGGGCATGGTAGATGTGTCTTCTGTTGGTCTTATGTTGGTTTTTTCTTTTTCTTTTTTAATCAGTAGTCTTCTCTTGGTTTATCCGGCTATATTTATGAGTTGGCTGATACTGGAATGTTAAAAGTAAAAACCAGGGTTGTTACTGTAGAAGTAAAAGTGGGGCATATCTGATACAGAAAATAATTCAGAAACTAGAAAAATAAGCAACTGAAGGGATCACAACGCCTATCCCTGTTCAAACCACTATCATGCGTAGTATTTGTTTCAAGGTTCATATATCTAAACTATTTTAGTTAATGACACTCTGCTCACATGGCTAACAAAGACCAACTAACTAGTTAAAGAAAAGTTAACCAGTGAGTAAGGCGAGTATTTGTTAGACAAAGGATGTAATATGTAGCTTGCCTTCTACCTTTCTCATAAACAACATACACGCAGTGTAGCTGGGGCATCATAGCAGCGTGTTTACTAGAAAAAGATGTTAGAACTTGGTTGAATAAGCTCCAATCCTTAAATTGTAGGTTATGGATTTGCAAAATATAAAGAGAAGGGAACATCATAGAAGTTAGAACAGAAGACTAAATGCAGAAGACTTGGAATAAATGCTTAAAGCTCTTTTGTTCTTCTTCTTCTTTACATATGCTTTTGTGACTTAAAGTAGAATTATAAAATTTGGTGGTTCTTTTTGAATTTTAATAGGCTATTCTTGGTGGTAAAGTTGAGGTACCAACTCTATCGGGAAAGACACAGATACAGGTATGCGTTTTATACTGGCTTATCCATCTTTCGTCATTTTTAATGTATTTTATTTGCTAGAAGTGTTGTAATGCTGTCATGGCGTTAGAATAAATGTGAAGTAAAATACTAATAGTGAATTTTGTGTCACCTTGATTTTGAATGTGTCTGTTTAAACTTTCTTCTTCCATTTCGGTTGTTTTTTCAAATTTGACCGAATGGCAGTGATTTTGCTCATCCTTTGCTTATTTGTGTTGAGATAGTCATCTATTCCATGGTTCTATTTAAATTGGTTTTTAAATTTTTTTCTTCAATTGTTACTGATAAAAAGGGCAGCTCGATGCACGAAGCATCCCGCATTGACGCAGGGTCCCGGGGATGAGCCGCACAGCCTACCCTAACGCATGCGACGGTGGCTGATTCCACGGTCAAACCTGTGACCTATAGGTCACACGGAGACAACTTCACCATTGCTCCAAGGCTCCCCATCCAATTGTAATTAAAAAAAATTCAAGTGCACTGTCTTTGTGAACTATCTGTAGTGTAAGATACGAAGTAAAAATGGATTTTATGAGATTGACAGACAGTACTGCATTTTAAGTTGCTCTGACTTGGGAAATGTGCCTACTATTTCCTTCACTTTCTGACTCCTCTTCCGGTGGAATTTCACTCCTTTTCTGGTGAAATTTTTTCCTTGGAATAACATGGGGGAAAAGCTCTTTTTTATTTCAGATGACAAATCCTACGAGCTTATCGACATCAGTGAAGATAATGAAAGGTGGTTTTTATGGATTGAAAGGGGCAGCAGATTTACAAGTAGAATAAAGATCTATGAGGACAACATCAGATGGGTATGTGAGCAGATGTACCAAGCTTCACGGGGTTTTGTGAATCTTTACAGAAGGTGGGGGAGAAAGATACAAGCTTATTTATACAGGGTGTATCAAAACTATAATGTTTACTGCAGATACATCAGAATTGAAACTTGGATTGGAGACAGAAAATCAGCAATAATAATACTGGAAAATGATTACAACAGGGGGTGGGCAGATATAGCTGGGAGAATATTACAATTTTTGGGGAATGCCTCTAACTATAAGTTAAAAAAGTTTGCAGATGTGCAAAAGAGGTCCTTTCTAGCTGCTGCAAATATTCCTCAATGGCCTATGCAAGCTACCGAGCAAGGTGTTGCTGCTGATGATGAGAGCTCCCAATTTCTCTTCAAGTGTCTGATTGGATGCTTCAATGATCCTTTTAACCAAAGCCCCAAATGAAGTCATCCAAAAATGGTTTATCACAAGGTGGAAAGTAACTGCCGGCCTCAGGGTCACTCCGATGGCTCACAACCAGTTCCTTTTCGAGCTGCCATCGAGACAGGAAGCAGCCAGGGTAAAAGCAGGGGATTGGTTCTGGAATGGTAGACACTTATCTCTTGAGTGGTGGTCTCCGGAATTTGGGTCATCTCCGGCCAACGGTGACGTGGGGCAAAAGTGGATAAAAGCCTTTGGAATTCCTCTGCATGGCTGGATATCAACTACATTCCGCTACATAGGAGATAAGTATGGTGGATTCATAGGCACCGATGAGGATACAAAAAACAGGACGCACATGTTCTGAGCCAGAATCTGTGTAAAAGACAAAGAGATGAGCTGCCCAGGAGTCGTCGATTTAAAAATAGGCAATATGAGCTACAAAATTTCAGTTTTGGAGGATGTAATCACAAAAATTGCCAGTCCCGGCGAGGCTTCAGTTGTCGTCGGAGTAGAGAGGGTGGCAGCTTCTGATAACCCTTCCTCGAGCCAAGTGAAGGACCTATTGAACAACCTAGCAGTCTTTAACTGCATTAGACCTAGCAGCTTTAATTCAAAAGTGGATGAGGTGGCAACCACATTCTCAGGGAATACCATCAAGATGCCAGATATTAGGCATTCTAAAGCAACATGCCCCGAGATGCCAGCTGTTAGGCATTCTAAAGCAAATGGCCTCAAGATGCCAACTGTTAGGCATTCTAAAGTAAATGGTGGGGTCAAAGACGGCTAAAAATTTGGGCCATTTAGTGGATCGTGAATGTTATGAAAAGGGCCCAAAAGGTAAGCAAGTACCAAGGGGTAAATTAACAAAACAGATCTGGAGAGCAGCTGGGCCTAAATTTGACTCATGTGTTTTGAAGCCTAATCCCTACATCTCTGTAAACTATTTTGATCCATTAATGGAGGAATTAGAAGCTTCTTTCTCAGAAGGGCCTAGTGCCAAACCTTCTTCACTGACTCGATGCGATTACCCCTCAGAGGCAGACGACGAAGGAGAAAAGATATTGCACAAAATCTGCAGGAGAGCACCACAATCAACTGAAGCTTTAAGTAGTTCGGATGTCGAGGTCTCTTCTTGTGATACTCTTGCTCTCCCATGGTATGAACATGGCTCTTCAAGCATGCAAGTAATTGATACCCCGAATATTTACGAACATACAAGATGGACAAAAGTTGTGATGTTAAAGGCTTGCAAGGCTTTTGGGGTTAACGTAGAAGGGTTTGAACATGAGATTATAGATATCATCCTCCGAATGGATCAGAAACGGCAAATGCAGCTGCAGAAGCAAAAGTCACCTGGCAGGGACAAAAAAAAAGGGTAAGAAGAAGCAAGAAAAAGAGCTAGAAAGGCTGACATGGGGCCTAAATTACGAGGGCAAGAGGAAAGGGGATAGGGACAGGTTTTACAAAGCTTTTTCTGAATGAAAGTAAAAATATTAAGCTGGAACGTGCGGGGATTGAACGATGCTGATAAAAGGACTACAACTACATCACTGATTCAGAAGTGGAAGCCAGATATTGTTTGTTTGCAAGAAACAAAAATTGAAGAATTTCCAGTAACCTGGATTAGACAAATATGGGGTAATCGTTGGGTAGAGTGGGCAGAGTTGAAATCTATAGGGAACAACAGTGGAGGAATTATCATCTTATGGGACAAAAGACAGTGGGTAAACATGGGTACTCATCAAGGTTACTACACTCTATCATGCATGTTAGAAAGTACGCATGAAGAATTCAGCTGGTGTTTTACAGGGGTGTATGGGCCACACACAAATCCTGAAAGAGAGGAACTATGGCTAGAACTTGCAGCAATCGGGTCTATCTGGAATGAGCAATGGGTAATTGAGAGTGATTTCAATGTTTGTAGGTATGAAAGTGAAAGATACAACTGTGTTAGAAGGTCCAGGGCCATGGTATCTTTCTCAGAAATCATTCAAGACCTACCTGGGTATTATAGACTTGCCTCTACAGGGAGCTTATTATACCTGGTTCAGAGGTGAAGACTCATTGCAAGCATCGATAATAGACAGGTTCTTAATTTCTCCTGAATGGTGTGATAGTTTCAAAGCTATCAAGCAGCTAGCCCTTCCAAGAGTGATCTCTGATCACAAGCCCATGCTTCTTGAGAGTGGTGACTGGGAAGCCACCCCTTCTTACTTCAAATTCGAAAATATGTGGCTGCAGATAAAGGGTTTCATTGATAAGGTTAAAAACTGGTGGCAGAGCTATTTGATAGGAGGCAGTCCAGATTTTATACTTGTGCAGAAACTGAGAAGGCTCAAGGCAGACATCACTAATTGGAACAGAGAGGAGTCTGGCAGACTGGAAACACACAAGAATAAATTACTGGAGGAATTAGCAATGCTGGAGCAAGTAACAGAGAACACGGCCCAGACACGAGTTGAAAAGGAGAAACTAATGCAGCTAAGAGTGGAGTTACAACAAATCGCAAAGGTTGAGGAGGTCTCATGAAGACAAAAATCAAGATGCCTATGGCTAAAAAAAGGTGACAGGAACACTAAATTCTTTCAGAAAATGGCTAACTCCCACAGAAGGAACAATTGCATTGACAAATTGAAGATAAGGGAGGAAATCACTGAGGACAAAGAATCCATCAAAACTGAAATCCTAAACTTTTATCAGGGGCTCTATTCAAAAAAAGAACAATGGAGACCTAGTGTCAACTTTGGAAACCTAGCTAGAATCTCGATGGAGGAAGAGGTGTGGCTGGAAAGAGCCTTTGAAGAGGAAGAGGTGAAGGCAGCCATCAATTCTTGTGCACCAGATAAAGCCCCAGGGCCTGATGGCTACACAATGGCATTTTACCAAAAAACATGGGACTTTATCAAGCCCGACATCATGGCAGCAGTCAATCATTTCCACTATAACTGTTATATGGTCAAATCCAGCAATGCCTCATTTATTGCACTTGTTCCCAAGAAAAAAGGTGCAATAGAGCTCAAGGACTTTAGACCAATAAGCCTTATTGGAAGTGTGTATAAGATATTGGCTAAACTTTTAGCAGAAAGGATAAAGACAGTGATGGGGAAGCTTATCTCAGGGGAACAGAATGCATTCCTAAAAGATAGACAGATTACTGATGCATCACTCATTGCAAATGAACTACTGGATGAGAGACTAAAAAGTGGAGTCGCTGGAATTTTATGCAAACTAGACATAGAGAAGGCATTTGATCAAGTTAGTTGGTCTTATCTACTGTCAACACTAAGGGGAATGGGGTTTTGTGAAAGATGGTTAAGGTGGATCAAGTTCAGCCTAACCACTGTCAAGTATTCAATCCTTATTAATAGATCTCCAATTGGCTTTTTCTCCCCTCAGAAAGGGATTAGGCAGGGAGACCCTCTCTCACCTTTTCTCTTCATCATAGCAATGGAAGGCTTGAGCAAAATGCTTGATAAAGCAAGACAATTAGAATGGATTGAAGGGTTCAAGATAAACAACAATTCAGGGAATTCAATCTAAGTCTCACATCTACTATATGCAGATGACACACTAATCTTCTGTGGGGCTGAAAAACTGCAACTGCAATACCTTAATCTAACCCTACTTATTTTTGAATCTATTTCAGGTTTGCACATAAACGTGCTGAAAAGCATGATATACCCTGTCAATGTGGTACCTAACTTGGAGGAACTGGCAGGTATAATGAGTTGTGACATTGGCTCATTTCCTACTACCTATCTTGGACTACCCTTGGGAGCCAAACATAAGTCAGTGGAGGTGTGGAATGGTGTGATTGAGAAAGTGGAGAAAAGATTAGCAACTTGGCAGATGCAGTATCTCTCAATGGGTGGAAGGGTGACTCTGATTAATAGTGTCCTGGACAGCATACCAACTTACATCATGTCCCTCTTCCCTATGCCAAGTAAAGTTCAAAAGCAGGTGGACAAATTAAGGAGATCCTTTTTATGGGAAGGTAACAGTGAAGGTCACAATCCATTTGGTAAAATGGGCAACTGTAACTCAACCAAAGTCACAAGGTGGTCTGGGCATTAGAGATTTATCAAAACACAACAAGAGTTTGCTAATGAAGTGGCTTTGGAGATATAGGCAAGAAGACACTAGCTTATGGAAGGAAATAGTGAAAGCCAAATATGGTCAACTGGATAATTGGAGTACTAGAACCACTAGAGCTCCTCATGGGGTTGGGCCCTGGAAACACATTAACAGCCTAAAGGAAGTCTTCCAACAAGAAGTGTCCTTCAAAGTTGGTAATGGAGCGCATGTGAAATTTTGGAAGGACAAGTGGCTAGGGAACTTCACACTACAAGAAACCTATCCATCTTTATTCCAACTAGATAGTGATCCTAACTCAACAGTAGCACAAAATAGATCCAACAACACTTGGGAGGTCCTTTTCAGGAGAAATATGCATGACTGGGAGATAGAAGGGGTGTCGGATCTACTTGGAAGGTTAGCAAACTTTATAATGAGTATCCAACAAGCAGATAAGCTAAGATGGGGCACTTCTAAGAAAGGTGCATACACAGTGAAGGAAGGCTACAACAAACTTGGTGCATCGAATGAAGTTATTGACATGTGGCCTTGGAAGCTAATCTGGAAAACCAAACTGCCTACAAAGGTCAGCTGTTTTGCATGGACGACTCTTAAAGGTGCTATTTTGACCCAAGACAATCTTTGTAGGAGGAGCTTCCAGATTGTGAATAGATGCCACATGTGCCAGTTAAATTCAGAATCAATCAACCATCTATTTTTGCATTGCACAGTGGCTACAGATCTCTGGCGCATGTTTTTCTCAATTTTTGGTATCAGCCGGACACTACCTCAGAGCATTAAGGAAGCAGTTGAAAGTTGGAGCTTTTGGAAAGTTAGCAAGGCCATCAAAAATATCTGGAAAATGGTCCCAGGGTGCATATTTTGGTGTCTTTGGACAGAAAGGAATCGAAGATGTTTTGATGGCATTTCAACTCCTAATCACTTCTTGAAAGCTAGATGTCTGGTGTATCTTTTTAATTGGAGTAATATCTCCCCTGTAAACAATGCTATTCCCTTTCTAGACTTTATTGGCTCAATGAGCCTGGCCTGATGGCTTATTTTTATTTTTTTGGTTAGCTCCCTATTAGAATAGAGCATGATGTACTGGAGCTAACATCTCTTCTTTTGTACTATTTGCATCTTCTTGATGCCAGCAATACAACACCTTACTTCATCAAAAAAAAAAGATACGAAGTAAAGTTTTTCAGTTCCTCGTCTAGAGGTTCAACTGTTTTTGGCTCCAAATATGAAGTGGAGTCTGGGGAAAGAGCGCTTTGGGAACTCTAAGGGTAATATTTTTTGCAAAAGACAAAACTAACACCAATTCTCCCAAAATACGGACTATTTTATCCACCTGTAGTTCTCTGAAAATGAAGGCCATTCTCGTTGGAAACAAAAGTTTGTCTTCTAATCCAGACTAAAGAGGGGAGATGAGACTGAAGCTACTTGAATGCTCATAAACAAGCAAGGAATTGGCTTCGGGATCAAACATCAATTGCAACAATTTGAAAAAAATAGATTTCCATCGCTTCTGTCCTGCATTTCCAGTTACTGATGTTGCTTTACTGTTTCATATGTTGCCTGATAAAATCATCATCAGTCAAGTGCTTACTCCTTGGTGTTTTTCTTCCGTTTATTTTATTTTCATTGTTTTGTTTCATGTGCTACGACCACTGTATTTCTCCTTTTTTGACTTTCTTTTTTACCAATGCTTGCTGCTGTTTTCTGTTTCTGGTCCTTTTAGATACCCAAGGGGGTTCAGCCTGGACAACTTGTGGTACTACGAGGCAAAGGTATCATAGCTTAAGTCAGAGTGACTTCTAATCTGTTTGATATGCTTCCTTCTGAGTGATCAGTCTTGTTGTCTGTCATACTTAGGTTTGCCAAAGAGTGGTTTTCTGGTGAACCATGGAGATCAATATGTGCGGTTCCGCATTGACTTCCCCACGTATGTTTTCTCTCTCGCATTTCCAGATCACCTTTATCCCAAATGATTACAGTTCATTATCCTCGTTAGAGGGNAGGAGTATCACAAAGAAATCAGTATTTTACCCATAATCAATAGCACAATGTAACCTTAACCTTGAATCAATATTCGAAAGTTACCAAATCTCAGTGAAACTAGATATAAGTCACCCAACATTTCAAATAACCCGCTAAGCATGGATAGTAGAATTTAAGGCTACAAAATAGACAAGAATAAAATTTCACTCGCAGGCTATGACTCGACAACGACGCATAGATGCTCGTCACCTCACCTATACATCGTATTTAACAACCAAACACGTAGCAAATAAACACATAATACCTATTCCCTCAAGCCAAAGTTACACACGACACTTACCTCGCTCCGAAGGCCACTCAATTCTCAATCACAGTTTTTCCTTTGGAATTCACCTCTAACCACTCGTATCTATTCAAAAATGACTCAATAATATCAAGTATTTTTAAATAAATCAATTATATTGCATAAATTAAATTTCCCAAATTTTTCCTCCAAAAAGTCAAAAAATTGACCTCGGGCCCGCTTGGTCAAAACCAAAAGTTCGGACCACAATCCAATTACTCATTCATCCCCGAGCCCGAATATATAATTGGTTTTGGAATCCGACCTCAAATTGAGGTCTAAATCCCCAAATTCCCGAAATCCCTAGTTTCTACCCTAACCCCTAATTCTACCATGAAAACTCTAGATTTTAGGTTGATAATTCATAAAATGTAATGGGTAATTGAAAGAAAATGGTGTAGAATCACTTACCAACACTTTGGGGAAGAATATGACTCTTGAAGATCGCCTCTACCCGTTTGATTCTTGAAAAATGTTGAAGAAATGGCTTAAACTCGTGTTTGGAGTCTGTTTTAAGTCACTGGACATGCCTTCATCGCGTTCGCGAGAGGCCTGTCACGATCGCGATGCACAGCGGCCTAAGGCCCTCGCGTTCGCGAGTCCTTCTACGCATTCGCGTAAGGTAGCTCCCCCCTATGCCTTCGCATTTGCGACCCAGTGGACGTGTTCGCGTAGAAGAACATGACCCCCCTCCCCCAGGTCCCTTAAACTATCGTGTTTGCGTGAGAGAGATCGCGTCCGCGAAAGGGTACCACCCCAACGCTTCGCGTTCGCGACCAGTCCTTCGCATTCGTGAAGAAGGAAATTCCCCTGCCCCCATTTTACTTTTCGCGTTCGCGACACTACCTACGCGAACGTGAAGAAAGGCACACCAAAACAGCCGCTGCAGCAAAAATCTCAGATTTTCTAAGTGCAAATCACCCCGTAGCCTATCCGAAACTCACCCGAGCCCTCGGGGCTCCAAACCGAACATGCACATAAGTCTATAAATATCATACGGACCTGCTCGCTCGATAAAATCGCCAAAATAACACCTAGAACTACGAATTTAGCACTAAATCAAATGAAATTCTCAAGAACACTTTAAAATTTCTATTTTCTCAACTGGACGCCCGGATCACGTCAAATCAACTCTGCTTCATACCAGATTTCACCGGCAAGTCTTAAATATCATAATGAACCTGTACCGGGCTCCGAAACCAAAATATGGACCCGATACTAACAATGCAAAATATCAATCAATTCTTATAAATAAATAATTTTTAAACTTTTAATTTTTATCAATAATTCATAACTCAAGCTAGGGACCTCCGAATTCGATTATGGGCATACGCCCAGGTCCCATAATTCGATACGAACCTACCGGGACCGTCAAAGCATAGATCCGAGCCCGTTTACCAAAAATGTTGACCGAAGTCAACTAAAATTAACTTTTAAGGCAAAATTTTTTATTTTTATTAGTTTTCAACATAAAGGTTTTTCGGAAACCTGCCCGGACTGCGCACGCAAATTGAGGAGGGTAAAAATGAGATTTTAAAGGCTTAAGAGTGCAGATTCAAGTTCTAAAGTATAAGATGACCTTTTGGGTCATCACATTACCCAACTTTTCTTAACTGTTATGGCTAGGATGCATCTGATAGTGGTCATCTTGACCACTGGAGAAAAAGTTTCATTGAAATCTATTCCATCTCTCTGTATATCGCCTCTTATCACCAACCT